CCAGGATGAGTTATTCCGCCTGCGGTTCGTTAAGAAGATTACTGCCGCTGCTACATAGCCCGGGGTAGAATTGTTACCGTCTATGGTTATCGCTGCTATGACAGAAATGTAAGTAGTTTGCAGTGTAGCAATGTATTATTTTAGCGAATTATGATGCAGCTTACAATACGGTAGGGTACTGATAAGGGGGAGGTGAGGTGGGAGTAGGGGGACGGGAGGTGAGGGAAGGACCCCCACTTGTCCCCCCGCTCATAACTCTGCCGGCGTATCTTTCCTTCGCGCCGTTTTCATCTATTGTTTCACTTCTTGGAACCAATCCGCTCAGGCGAGGTACCTCACAAATTGCTGCTATTGCTGGGAGATGCCCCCGCTAGCGCCACTCTCCGCTGTAGATAATAACCTATAAGCACGATGCACGATTTCTCTAAAAGCGCAATCTGCCTACACATGGCATGCTTTGTGTATATCGTCGCGTTACTTGAAGAAGCGGCACCTTGAAAATGCGTGCTTTAACTCCGATGATATAAACGGCGTGTTTTTCCAATCGCTTTCAACGCAGTGTGGATACGGCACGTGTCGACTTGGCCGGCTGGGTAGGCCTAAGAGATCTATGAACTTTTATTCTATATGTGGCCTTTACACGTGTCATTCGATCTGTGCTATTTTTAAAGTAAATATAATCACGATAAATTCATTCAAGTAAGTCGGCAAGATCAAGTGCGCCATGTCCATATAAATAATATAGAAGCATACAAAAAATTGTAGCGAAGAGGGCGAATGCATTGATCAATCAAACTAGAAAATACGCGCAGACAACGTGGGCAGACTACGTAGTAGGACAGCTACGTCACTCGGACTGGTCGCCGGCGACGTGCCCGCCACGTATTATCACTACGTCGTCATTACGTACTGGCACGTATATACGTAGTATATACGTAGTGTGTTAGCTGGGTATATTGCAAACTGCATGCAGCGCCCCCTTCCACACTGCAGTGATATACGTAGAAATTGAGCCAAGCGAGAGCGCCATCTGTCGTGGAAGTTTGGGTAATAGTTTCGTGACAGATAATTCCGTTCAACGACGTTGCATAATTTTTGTTCCCGCTAAACAATGAAGGCTGCTCAATCACAGGGGCTAATGTCCCCGAGTGACAATGGCCTTACCTGAACATAGCTGTCAGCCACAAATACAAGTTATTTTTCAATTTTGTAGCAAAAGAGGAATATACAACAAGAATATACCTCAATACTCTTCAATGACTTAATAACACTACTTACTGTAACATTCCCCCCTTTACTGCAGCATTAACTAATATTATCGTTGGCGACCTCTTTTTGTTATGTTTTCCCATGCGTGATCTGCCATTGTGTGTGTGTCGCGTGAACCCCTTCGGTCAATTACCAACCGTTTTTAGACGCAGATAACCACACGAGGTAGATTCGTAACAGAACAATAAGAACTGTAAGACAGCAGAAAGGGAGGTGGAATACAGGCACAGCTGACATCTGTTATCGCACACGCTTGGGCGTAATCTTAGCACGTAGACAAAATCAGGCATGGTCGGGGGCTGTCTAGAAAACAGAGAGTGAGGGACAACACTCGAAGCCTGTCTAGACAAATACGACACCACGTGCTATCTGACAGAATCCTCGCCATAACCGAGCAATATCGTACATATTTCAGCCACTTTAACAACCGTCTGAGGCTCGAAACTGTTTCAGCATACACAACAAGAACGGTCCATCGCTATACGAAATGCTTAAAACATAAAACGTGGCATGCACGCGACTAGGCGCTGTATTTTTTAGATCTGGTTGTCCTGTCAGGCAACAAGAAGCAATTTTTAGCGTTGTCGGCGAATTTACTTGGCAAATCTATGAAGGCCGTTTTTAATTAGCGTGGCTTCTCTTTGGTTCAGTGGCATATCATATTTACTAGAGTGTATAGATGCTAAGAAAGAAAAAAAAAAAAATAATGATATTATATCTATATTATAGCAGCTTCAATATTACAAGTATATAACGATATTTACTCGTGTATAAACGCAGCTTTTTGTAGGCACAAACTTCAATAAAAAAAAATACAGGGGGTGCAACTTATAGACGAGGCCAATATCCACCCAGGCCCAATATTGAACAATATTAGGCAGATATTGGTCCAATATACGGCCCAATATTAGAAAAACAATATTGGGGCCAGTTATGCACCAGGCCGGATATTGGACCAAATCGGCCTATATTGGACAGGACATGGACATAAACCGAAATGTGCGGGCAGATACTTGCAATATGGTAATACTTTTAGCCGCAGTATAATTGGGATAGGGTGTATTTTAGGGCGCAAAGCGGTTTGCGACAGGGTCAGCGTTTTTTCAAGGTGCCGGAGGCCACCCCCCGCCCCCCCCCTACCCTCAGTCCGAGGCCGAGAGCCCCGCCCCCACCCGAGATGTACCTCGTACTTTTAATTTTTATTTGCAGGAAATGCGAAACGGAGAAGGCGCTGCTAAACAGATTCATTTGTTCTAATAAAGATTTCTTAGCTATATCTATGTTCATGGTATATTATTTTGGTTTAATTTATCAAGTAAATCGCTTTTATAATATAAAATCGCTCTGGACAGCTATACAGAAAGCACTATTGCTCTCATGTTATTATCACGAAGTGAAGCGCAGACTTGCATTAATCACGAAAATGATGCACAGATTTGTCTGTTAAACACACAAGGTCAGTTTAGGCACCTTATACCTAACAAGGTATCACGACGTGATGCACAGATTATTGTATATCACGAGGTGATGCACAGATTAGTGTAGATCACGAGGTGATGCACAGATTAGTGTAGATCACGAGGTGATGCACCGGATTAGTGTAGATCACGAGAGGTGATGCAGCAGTATTAGTGTAAAGATCACGACGTGAATGCACAGATTAATTGTATATCACGAGGTGAATGCATGCAGATTTAGTGGTAGATCAGCGGAAGGTGATGCACAGAATTTAGTGTATGATCACGAGTGATTGGCACAGATTAGTGTAGATCACGAGGTGATGCACAGATTAGTGTAGATCACGAGGTGATGCACAGATTAGTGTAGATCACGAGGTGATGCACGGATTAGTGTAGATCACGAGGTGATGCACGATTACGTGTAGATCACGCAGGTGATGACACCAGATAGTGCAGATGCACGAGGTGATCGCACAGATAAGTGTAGATTCAGAGGTGATTGCACGATAGTTGTAGATCACGAGGTGCTGGCACGGATTAGTGCAGATCACTGAGGTGAGCAGCAGATTTAGTGTAGATCACCGAAGGTGATGCACAGATTATTGTAGATCACGACCGTGATGCACAGATTAGTGTAGATCACGAGGTGATGCACAGATTAGTGTAGATCACGAGGTGATGCACGGATTAGTGTAGATCACGAGGTGATGCACAGATTAGTGTAGATCAGCCTGAGGTTGATGCACAGATTACTGTAAAGAATACCGAGGTGATCGCAACGAATTATTGTAGATCAACACGAGGTGATGCGCAGATTGAGTGCAGATCACGAGGTGATGCACAGATTATTGGCTAGTATCCACCCACGAAGGAGTGATGCAGCAGATGTAGCGTAGATCAGCGGAGGTGATGCACAGATTAGTGTAGATCACGAAGGCTGATGCCACGAGATTATGTAGATCACGAGGTGATCACAGACTTAGTGTAGATCAACGAGTGATTGCATCGGATTAATGTAGATCACGAGTGATGCACAGATTTAGTGTAGACACGAGTGGATGCACGATTATGTAGATCACGACGTGATGCACAGATTTGCGGTTTCATAACCACAAGTTTCAGTTTAGGCACCTTATACTCTAACAAGGTATACAACGACGTTTGATGGCATCAGAATGGTGCAAATAAATGTGTTGTGTGTGTGTGTGTGTGTGTGTGTGTGTGTGTGTTGTGTGTCGTGCCGTGCGTGCGCGCGCGCGCTGTCGTGCGCGTGCGTGTGTGTCTGTGCGTGCGTGTGTATGTGGCTTGATGTTGTTCATGTTCACGTCTGCGTTGGCTTGCGACTTCTGTGGCAGCTTGATTTTCCCGATAAAGCGTTCGTTGACCGAAATTCTAACAATACACATACAGCAAACCAATAACAGTTCGAAGCGCGGGGAGGGGGGAGAGGGGGTTATATAATAAGTCGCCGTCTCTGTGACAATCATTCCTCTGTGAAATACTTATGTTTATCTATAGGTATTGCTCTGCAGTAATGCGCAGAATGACGCGCGCAGTAGAGCGCTGTCGTCTGGCAGCAATATGTTTGAAAACTGCAGAGTGACTTTCCAATCAATGGGAGATCAAAATCAAACTAACAAAATTAAGTTAAAACCGCGTAAATAATAAAGCTAATTGGGCCTTTAACATAATTTTATGGGCGTACACAGATACATGTATATGTCATGGTATCATCGTAGTGTATGTATGTCATATGTATGTATGTATTGTATGTAATGTTTGTATGTTGTAGTAATGTATGTATGTGTATGTATGTGTTTGTGTTGTTGTGTGTGTGTGTGTGTGTGTGCTGATGTGTGTATAGTTGTCGTGTGGTGCGTGCGTGTGATGTGTGTGTGTGTGTGTGTGTGTGTGGTGGTGTGCGTGCGTGCGTTGGTGTGTATGTATGTATGTGTGACTGTGTGTGCACCTATACATGCTCGCGTGTGTGCGCACATGTCCGCATGTGTGTGTGCGCGTACGTGTTGTATATATTACTATTTGTTACTATTGTTATTGTAGGCCTATATACAAGTTGAATAATGTAATAAAATGGGGCCTGCCGTTCATCCACGTAAATAATTAGAACATGAAGAATGATTGAAGTTGCGAAGTTTATTATCATGATCAAGAGATCAGATAGTTTAAAAGTTTCATTTCACAACCGACTTGGATTTTGGGGTAATATCTAGGAGAATCGGTAGATCACTTCGTCTATAAGAGATTAGAGACCAGACAACTCTATAACGGGACTCTAGGTATTAATATACATATACGTTACTCCCGTATTCAACCGTTAGTGATCATCCAACAAAAAGCTATAAAATATCTGAATATCCCAAATTAAAACCTCTATCATATATGTACCTGTATCTCCTTTATATCACAAACTATTAATATTAGTCGCATATTTCTTAACGACGACATAATTGAAAGACGTAGCTACGGACAAATATTGCTTTTTAGTGAGTAGTAGAATCATAATAGGATACAAATTACTGACAGATATGACTGAAGTACATTAAAATGAGCATCTTTATATCAACCATATATATATATATATATATATATATATATATACATATATATATATACATATATATAACATCTAATTACTAAAGTTAGAAACTTAAATAAGTGAATTGTTCACACGGTCACATATCGTTTAGGTCTACTTATCGCGCAATTTGTAACGCGAAATTATCAACAAATATCTTGACAACTTTACAATACGAAAACACATTACCAACTTATAATACGCAGGTAAATTCCCATTACTAATTACATTACTTTGCTTCAACACATCGGGGCAGAGGAGCAAGAAAGTAACAAAACAAAATATAAACTATCTAATTATTCAAAAATCTTGTGCATCACCGATGCTAACGTTAATCTAAAACTTGAAATCTACTAAACGCATCTATCAAGAAACTGTTCAGCGCCACTCAACCCCGTAGGTACGTGCGTAAGTCTGACACACGAAAGCCTTCCCTCATTCCCCAGCATTCGCCAAGAAGAAAAGATGCGATGTATCCTGCACATCTCTTCCCCGTGCCTCCCCATTATCACGACAGAGAAGTAAAGAGAGGTAATATCGATGATATGTGATGAAGTTATGCGAGCTAGAGAAGAACGGCGGCTCACGACTAGACTGTCACATGATCCGCCGCCGCTGGGTGACGTCATCCTGCGTGACATCATCATACGGACGCTTCGTTTAGCTCCGTGCAGCTCACGTACTCTGAAACGTCAATGAGCAGCTGACAAGGATAATCACCATGGCAACCAGAAGTAGTGCGCGAGAGCCAATCATCGTGTGATATACCGCGCCAAATTTAACTGCTCGGTATCTGTAACGTGTTCCGTATTAATGTTCTCGGTATATAGCTTGCTGTTGTGCGGAGGCTATATTATGTAAATACTTTCTATAGTTACTGTCTGTTGTTGTGTTTATTGTTTTGCTCTATAGCACCTGTTAATCTATGAAACGTCATTTGAAATTGCTAACCGCTTCACGTAATATTAAATAGACCTATTATTCGAAAAAAAACTTTGGTGTATATGTACTATAAAATGTTTATTATAGTCTTTATAACGTCATTACGTATATAATTAAAATAGATTAAAACGATGTGTAGTTTAAAAAACAAGTAATTACGGCGTATAATTACGTAAAATTTTTAACAGAATAATTAAGCACTTGTGCGAAACATGAAATCTAATATTAAACGGTGAAGAGCGCACCCGTGATCGAAGACCGGGGAGAGTCAAGGTCGTCTAGTGACCTCTGCACGACCTCGGGGTCAATCATGCTGTTGCGGTTACTGCCAGCTATCGGCGCGTCGAATTCGTCTGTGAGGTCCGCCAGTGGCGCCCTCATGTTCTCTGGAAACTAAAGCAACTGGGAACGTAATGCGGCTGTATACTTGGTTCGTCGTAAGGATAAAGGTTGTGATAAGGATTAGGAACACTCAATGGCGAATTTAAGTGATAAAAGAATCGGGAATGTTGCATGAAAGAAAATTGGTCTTCTTGACATAATTATTAACATTAACACTTTCACGTGGGACGTTGGCCGAAACATGAAAAAAATTACGAGTTTCCTATATACGCAACGTATAGAGGTCGTGTCTACAAGATAAAGTTCATGCTAAGACTATTGTTTTTGTTTCTGACAACGGTCTCCAGGATTGCAGGTGTAGACCTATGGCTGAGGAAATGGTGCTGCGTCATACCATAGACATGAATGCATAAATACCAATAAATGAATAAACAAAAGTCTAACAAATGTAAGTAATCCTAAAACAATTGCAACACATAATAAGGGAGCACGTTATCCCTTCTTGCTATGGCGTATATAACGCATATTATAATCCATCTTGAATTACTCACACAACTATAGAAATATATATAGACACTACTACGTAGGCCTACTACTACTGCACGAAGGGTCGTTGTCGTATCAGGTACTACATATATGTACCCGAGGTAGTTTTAGGTTGTTTAGTATTATGTTTATATTTTTATATGAGGTATGTTTAGGGTTAGGGTTAGAGTTAAGGTTAGTGTTAGGGTTAGGGTAGACTTCTGTAGTACAAGTCTGGTACACTTTGTGTATACATATATGTACCTCGGGTACATATATGTATAGTGCCTGATACGACAACGACCCCTTCAGCACTACTACTACTTACTTCTAGTACGCATAGTCGACCTAGTATATTATTTCTATGCACCGTCTCAGTCAAGTTGAAAAATTAGCGCCTTCTCCATATGGTCGCAGTAATGTTCTCAGTCTGCGGCCTTGCTATACACTCACCTCCTCTATTGGTGTCAGAGGCTTGCTGGGTGGAGGAAGGACGTAGACGCCCTCATCGTCATCGTCGTCACCCGTCACCATCGGCTCGTCCGTAAAATCATCGAACTGATTTTCGTCAAATTCCTCCCCTGGGTTACCATAGCGCACTGTTCTCCCCGGCAGGCCGGCTCTCTGCAACAAGATAACACGACAACCGATCGCTACGCACCAGGGTAACGTCCGCTGAGTCGGCAATGCGAATGCGCAATATCTCACCACAGGAGTTCTATTAGTTGATCAGTGCGCGGATAGTTTTGATTAAAAGTTTATCGTTTAATCAAATTGTGTGCGGTGAAATTAATAGCAATCTCACATTGTACATATTCTTATGGCATGTTGAGTACGCGTACATTAGCCAAGGTCGCGCCTGTGTGGCGAAGCAGGGTGTCAGTTTTAACTGCGTAGACGCAACCCGGATGTAGACACGTCCGTACGCGACGTGGTGCAGTGCGCCACAGGCGAATGGCGAAGGGACGCCTTTCGGTCTGCAGTGGCCTTGAGCAAAGGCGTCGGAAGCAATAAAATAGTGCCGCGGCTTTGGTGATAGGGCGAGCCCAGGGGAGGCGAAGCCACCCTAGGGGGGTCTGGGGGCATGCCCTCCCCCGTGAAAATTTTGAAATCTACAAGGCAAATGGTGGGCTCTGGTGCATTCTGAGCATTGTGATTTAGCACAAAAAAGTGTTTTACTGTAATTTTAGTAAAATACATGATGATTTGAAAGATGTGTTGCTTAACATAGAATTAAAATATTCAATAATGACCAAAAACTCCAAATTTATTTTTCTCACTTTAACAGTGGAATAATCTTTGGTAAAACTTCCTGAAATACATTCCCATTCAAGACATGCGTACAATTGTACTGGTGCTCACAAACGAACAAACTGTTAATATTCGTCATGAAACGCGCTGACCCCGGGCAAAGCATGCTCCCTCAAGATAACGCAACGGCATGCTGCCTGCATAGAATCAGGAGTAGACGGGGAGCAGAGGAATGTGTGCCAGAGTTCTGGATCATAACATTTTATAGCTACAGGTGACCTGCAGGGGCGTGTACAGTATTTTGATGGGGGTCTAACCGTAAGACATACTTGCGAGCACGCGAAGGAGGGGTCTGGGGAGGCCCTCCCCCAGAAATTTTTGAAATTAGACCCCCTCAGATGCGTTTTCTGCGCGAGCAGGGGGGGGTCCGGACCCCCTGGACCCCCCCCCTGTACACGCCCCTGACCTGACCTCATCTGACCCTGGTCTCCGCTTATAGGGGCCTAGATTACACGTATATACATGATATATGTACCGGCTAAAAGACGGTATAAATTATTGAAAGATTTTGGTTACGGAAAATTTATGGCCTGAAAAAAGTGCCGCGGCAGTTCCGACGCCCTTGGCCTTGAGGACCCCTAATGTGACTTCACCTCGCTGGTCATATATATATGACCGCACCTCTGAAGCTCACTTTTGGACTTATTAATGAAATGTGTTGAAATTATTTGTGTGATCGCTTTTCCTTCGAGCGGAAACACAACACGAACGAATTTGGTTTGGAAATTAATGCAATTATACAATTAATACGAATCAAGGAATAACACAACGCAAGGCTTGTACAACAGTACAAGGCTTGTGCAACAGTAATACGATCACGAACCACACTAAACCTGAATTCGACCAGGTTTCATTGGAGCCGTTTCGACCAGGATTGGCGCGGAAGGAGTCAGCGTATCGGTGTGTCAAGAAACAGTAGTGGCGAGCGAGTAACGAAGAACGTACGTGAGTAACATTAACATTAGCAGTAGTGACGTCAGCACCGCATCATAGAACTGTAGTGTATCGACGTGTATCGTGTATCAAGCGTCGTGCCAGCAGTAGCATCATCGTTAACAGCGTCGGCAGAAACAGCATCGTCAGCAACAGCAGCCGCAACGGTATTTGACCCCCAACGCGTAGTACGTCGGAGAGCCTATAGTATATTGCTATGATACGCAGCATATTGCCATCGTCAGCAGCGTCGACGGCGGCATCAGTAGCAACGTTAGCAGCAACAGCAACAGCAGCAGCGGAGACAACAGCAACATCATTGGCAGCAACATCGTCAGAGGCAGCGTCGTCAACAACAGCAGCAGCGACATTTGAGCAGTGACTACGGCATTGGCAGCAGTGACCGTACCAGCGGCAGCAACATCAGTATCAGCAACGGCAATGTTGGCAACATCAGTATCAGCAACGGCAGTGTTGGCAACATCAGTATCAGCAACGGCAGTGTTGGCAACATCTGTTGCGGCAGCGATTCATCGTCATCAGTAACTCTCGCTACATATCACCTTATATCAGTGATCAGTAGGTGATAACACTAACGTAGAAGTCGACTAAACGGAGTTGGCGTCAGGAAGGGCATCCGGCCGTAAATTCTTGCTTCACTTCTTAAATTCTTAATCTTAACAATCCTAATCCTAATTAGTCTTCAACAAGAAAAGATGCCTATATGTATTGCATTAAAGGAGCAAGTTCAAAGGTTCTTTTCTTGTTACGCGTTTTTGGCTGGTATATGAATTTTGCAGCTGTGATCTTGTCCACGCGACCATATGGGCACACCTTCATTTGCATTCATTGTGATTCATTGCGTTAATTCTGTAAGAAACTATTAGCTGTGTAGACCCGGTAAGAGAATAGGTCTACTGCATCTTCTGCATGTCGTAGGAGGCGGCTAAAAGAAGGGCGCACCCTGATAGAACTTTATTGCTTGTGCATTATCCTCTGTAGAAGCGTCTCTGCTCATTTTTCTTTTCTTCTTGAAATGCAATGTTGCGTTCAAGTTCGTGCCTTGTCGGGGCAGTTCAGTATGTGCTGCCTTCCTTCCATCAATGCCGTAATAACGCATTGTGTCAGTTGTATTCTTATGCCACGAAGCGTTCACAATACGCAGATACATGCCTAAGTATATTTATTGAGTCTAACATTCTCAGTCGGTTACGTCGTCCTGTGCGGCTGGGCTTCCATCGCGTGAAATCGTCGCGCACCCGCGTTCCTTCCTCTTCCTCTTGGGTGCGGCGCGATTTTGCGTGATGTTCCTGGTAGACCTGCTCCCGGAGCGTGAGATAGTTGTTTTTGTGGGTCTTCAATGCAATTCACTATAATTCTATGTTACAAGCCATCGGTTACTGTTGGGTAAGTGTGTCAGTGATAAAAAGTGTGTCATTGAGAGGTTTACGTTTATTTAAAAAAATGTGGCATAGTAGACTGCATTTTATATGTTTGCAGTTTTTTAGAACTACACTTTGTGACATCAAGTCACGAAAGTTATTTTGCGGGGGGAGTGGTGTAACAGTGCGCAGTCAATTTGTAGATTAGTAAAGTAATTAATTTGAAATATTCATGGTAAAATTATACATGTGATTAGCTAAGGAGACAACACACAGGATGTTAATTCTACTGCGTAGACGCACATCCGGACCTGTGAAGGCAGAATTCGGAGAAGACCGGACGTGCGCAGTTGAATAACATAGTGTCAAGTACACGTGCGTCTACACGTGATGAGACGTGATTGCTAGATGTTTAACTCGTTCTTAGGGGAGAACGTGTGCACGTGTACGCAGTGTGGTCTCACACGCGGGTAGAATCATATGACGTCACCTTGCTGGTCGTATATATAGACACACCTTGGGAACTCTCCCTAGGTGTGCGCGCATATATTCCCACTCTGTTGGAAAAGATTGACGTACGGACGGACGGACGACCTCAGAGACTGACGGACGGACGACCTCAGAGACTGACGGACGGACGACCTCAGAGACTGACGGACGGACGACCTCAGAGACTGATGGACAGACGACCTCAGAGACTGACGTACGGACGGACGGACGGACAGAGGCATATGTTATGCTAATACATTTCTGGACTCTTGCTCACGAGTGTATCGTGAGCGATAATAAATTATTGTGCGTGGAAAACTCACTCATGGATTTGTGAAATCATTGGTGTTATCTTCGTTACTACGCCTCACCAGACACAGGGGAACTAGCTGACATTCCTTCAAGCGCAAACGCAAACACGAAACGAGACAACGGGTTAAGAACGATAACACAACGCAGGATTTAGAACATTACCATCACGTACACGATCTCGTGCCTACACACCGTCGGGCACTGTCCCGACGTAACTAATTAACACAAACTGAAACGTAACGAGAGCAAGGTTTCATTAGCGCGCAGCCGCACTTAATTAGATCGCATGCACCTAGTGCTGGCGACATGCTCTCTATGAGAATTGCAGAAATTCGGCGAAATACTGCTTCCGTCGGCAACTCTAGGGCATCCAGTAATCTCCGTTTGTGCGTTTTGGCTATATAGCCATTTCGAATAATTTCTCAGTTTCACAAGCGGAAATATCGGATTTGCGCATGCCCGTTCGCGCCGAAATTATATAGCATGAGGCGAAATTATGCATTCAAACGATTTTCGGGCTATCCGCCTATAGACGTGGTAAACTTCGGCGACCGCCTACGTATTTGCGAATTGCAGAGCGCCATCTTTTTCGTACGGCCGACGGCGATATGCACATAATATATACGTATATATTTTATGCTGGACATAGTTTCCGGTCGACGATTTTACCGCCCGCACCTCTTTCCGACGTCGCCTCTGCGACGGGCTGAGACGCTAGCGAAAATCCACTCGACGCGTTTCGTCTGCGTACACGTGACGTCACGTATGACGTCACGCATGACTCACGTTCAGCAGTTCTGTGCTGTCTGCGCTCGGATCCCACTCCAGGTCCTCTGGCGGGTCGTCCTCGCGGTGCACCATGGGATGCGTCTCGTCTCTCTCCGTCATCGTGTCATCCGATGTCGTCGATGACGTCGTTGATGACGTAGACGAACTGTCGTTGACGTAGCTGTTGCCAGGGTCATCGCCTAGGACGTAAGTTCCGGTGCCCTCGTGAGTTTCCACTTCTGGGCCGATAATAACATATTTCGGGGAACAACTCATGGGTCTTCATTGGTGTTAATGCAGCCTTCATTGACAATACACGACCATATAATACACCGAACTATTATTAATAGCAACCAACAAACCAAGCAAGCAAGCAACCAACCAACCTTTCCACTCTCCGTATTTTATTAGTATTAAAATATGGAGTGTGGCAAGGTTGGTTGGTTGCTTGGTTTGCTATGACCAGTTACCTAGAATCCCCGATCTATGTATGTTGTATATAATTATGTACGGTTGCCTATGACGTGGTCATTGCAATACTAGGACCGCTACCGTCAGTTACCTCTCACTCTATCCACCTACTACTAGTATACGTATAGATACTTTAATATCTACACAGGTACTATGTCTATATCTACGGATGTCATCATTATATACGTCACTTTTTGCTTGAAGTTTGGTCATGCTGGGTGTTCGAAGCTCCTCCATCTCCTGTGTGTGGTGTAGCTTCGTCGGCTCCGGTATGGAGTTCTGGCTGGGTCGAGTCTGCATCGATCCCCCATTATCAGCTAGCGGTACGTAGTTCACGTTGCTGTTCTGATCCGCTACAGCAACGAAGAATGAAAACAGAATATAATAGAATATAATTAAGGATTACAGATAAGAATATTAGAATAGAATATATTTATTAAAATTTTTATTCGAATGTACCGTAGTTCACGTTGCTGTTCTGATAGGCTTACTGCAACGTAGAATGAAAACTGAATATAATAGTATATAATCAAGAATTATAGGTAAGAATATTAGAGTAGAATATAATTATTAAAAATTTCGTCCGAATGGTCCGTAGGTAACATTGCTGTTCTGATCGGCTTTTACAACGTAGAATGAAAACAGAACAGAATATAATTATTAAAAAATGTTATCACAATCAATGGAACATCAAAGTTATAAAGGCTTTGAGACTAGGTTCGTACGTGCGGATAATTCATCTACGATGTATAATTCGTATCTTCGTTCCATTTTTTCGTTTATCATTTCTTTACGTTTTATAAAACCGGCGTACGATACCCCTTTGCCACGTTTGCACCCCAATGTAAAACTGTGAGTTGGAAACGTGAGGAACGAGGAAATCGAAGCCGGTGTTGTGCCAGCTTCCCTCGTTAGTTAGGTAAACGTAGGTAATACGTATTAGTAGGTAAAGATGGTAGCTACGTGTGTGTGCCAGCCTCGTGCCTGCCCTCATAGGAGAGAGCATAGAAACATTAGCATCTGCGTCCTGTGCCAAACCTTAACTTAAGTTAGAGTGCTTCTCAGTTTTGATTGAATTACGTATCGTTCACTAATTTATGGTATACTATCACAGCCAGAATGCTGTAATCGTCTCGGGTAAACTCATGCAGTGTTGGTGTGTGGGCCTGTAAGTACGGTACTGTGTAAGTATATATATATATATGTGTGTGGACTGTGGGCTGGTTGTTTGTGGTGTGTGTGTGTGTGTGTGTGTGTGTGTGTGTGTGTGTGTGTGTGTGTGTAATGTATGTGTAAGTAACCGGAATATATTACTCCTGTTGTTTACAATACATAGCAAAACATCTACGAGAGAAAGCGACACAATGACGCTATAGCTCGTATGAGAGCGAAACAGGAAGCCAAGATCTCATCCACACGAAACAAACGCCCGCCATTTTTATTTCAAATATATGAATGCGTTTACATTTTCTTCGTTTTCCTACACGAACGTTCATTATCACGTTTACAATCACGATTCTGAATAAATTAATCAGGCATGCATGTGCGTACTGGGAGCAGCCGCTGTATGCAGCAAGGCTCTCTTATACACTCTCCGTGGTGGTACACTCTCTTCATGAGGGTAGAAGGTAGTCAGTAATCCATCTCTCCTGCTGCCGATATTTTGTTATATTTGAGGTAAGAGCTGATTCCGTTCGCTTCGCGCGGGAGACAGGAATAGCAGCTATATCCTACTCTTGAATATACTGACGCTGTGGCATGGCAGACATTCCCCCCTACTATAGGTAGATATCCCTGGTAACCTATATAATTGCGTATGGGCATGACTCCCGGGGCGCATTTTACATTGCGCATGGAGATTTAATCTTTATGGTCTACGCACAATGTATAAGGGGGAGAGTTGCCATCGGGGAATGTATATCATGCTACATAGCCTCCATTTGTATTACACCCTACTGTAACATGCACTGCTTGCATTCGAAACACAAACATGGTTGACTGTACGGGCTAGCGTGATACACCGTTACACACACGAAAAGAAACACGATAGTTTATACTCGACACAAGATTTAATATTACTGTCTACATTCCCATTGGCTCACTAGCGTGCTATCTACGCGGTACTACGACACTACGGTCTAAAAGTTTATCACAACATGGCCGATTAAAATATGCGGGTCTCTTCTATTGTTCAACGACGACATGAACGATGACACATGATCTGTGTAACACGCCTTGCTATCAGCATTCCGATGCGTATTCTTAGTATAGGCGTGTCGGTCTACTCCGCCCAAGCCGTGTGGCCTCGCGTGTAGAATAGTGGTATACAAGGTATCCGCACATTTAACGTGCATATAGCGAGTCCAATTGGTCCGTGAGCATCACGTGGGGTCTACGGTGAAAATATGTTGGATGTTGTGTTTAAAAACGTAATCATCACGAATCACTGAATGTGCTATTTTTACACAGTAATTCACAATTTACACATGATATATATATATATATAGTTACGTGGTGTGATACAGAGACGCGCGCGCTTGTGAGAATATACGCTATTTAACGCTAAACCTTAGTTCCTTCCCATCAGCCAGGTATTCTATTATACGACAGGACACATGACTAACCTGCTGCTTGCACAAGCTTGCGATAGGTAATTTTAAACAGAAACGGACATCGGAATGATTGATACACACGATACAATAAAGACATTCATATAATCAAAGAACAAAGTATCTCCATCTATATCTTAGCTTACAGCGTCGATAAGTTACTTGTCAGCATGGCTCATAGGGTCTATGTCCCCCGGGGTACTGCCGGAACGTACCCTGGGTACGGTCCGGTATACCGGAACGTACCCTGGTAACTATTTGATATGGTTAGGGTTAGGGTTCGGGTTAAGGTTCGGATTCGGGTTAGGGTTAGGGAGTAGGCGTAGGCGACTCCCTAGACTCGTTAGTGGAGTAGGCGAGGTACGGTCCGGCATATCAAATAGTTACCAGGGTACGTTCCGGCAGTACCCTGGGGGACATAGACCCTCTCAGCGTCAGTATGAGCACTGCGTGTGTGTTAAATGAAGCCACAGAGAGCCATAATTGTCGGGTAATATTCTCGGCCCCCTCTCTCCCCTTCTCTTTTTCTCACTCTCAATCTCTCTCCCTCTCTCTTCCTCTCTCTCTTAATCTCTCTCATTCTCTCTCGTCTGAAAATGCACGGTGGGTTTACGTAGCTCTGTCTGTAATGTCATCCGCTAAGCCTCGGACGTCAACGCAGGTAGAGTTTTTATATTACTCATAGTCGCTTTGCAGCCGACATATATGCGCGGGCACTGTCTCACACTGGTCGGCGTGTGAAAAAAGCTGTGAATTATTTATTTATTGTTTTGAAATGCAGTGAATCGACGAGGATGACTAGTAAACTGATATTTCGCACTCAATCTCGTCTGCGTCCCGCGTCGCTCTGCACACGTCTGACGTCACGCATCGATGCTGCTGCCACGCGCGGGACTTTCTACGCCTCTCTCTTCGCACCAGCCGTCGGCCTACACCTGCTCTCCGCACTCTGTCACTTGCCACTTTGCCATCCTATCCCTCTACAAAATAACAGGAAGAGCCATAGTTCAGTTACGTCACATTTTAGTCGTGCCCTCTGGTGGCCAGCCGGTCAGTGGGAGCGTCGGCCCGCAGTGAGCTGACCAGCAGAGGGCGCCACACGAGATCGCTAATTGGCGCTTGGCTTTGGCAAGTGGCAAAGTGCGGAGTGGACGATTGAGCTAGAGTCGAGGCTCGGCTAGATTCCCATATTATTCCCCACCGGAACTTCCACATTTTACCACGTGCCAAAAACCATGGCCGTATTACCGCCTGCAGGTTTGTATGCCTTCTCATTTGTTTCAAACGCTTCGTTTTGCATCTAAGATGGCCGACGCTGATTTGACTCACTCGCTTGAGCACAAGGCACGACTGTAGCGCATGCGCACGAGACACCGCGTGACATTCCGCTTTGATCAAGGTCCAAGGGTGATTACGTTGTTGTGATTGTCTGATTGCGGCAAAAGTTTGCGCGAAAGAAGATTACGAGAAAGGTTAGTTGCATACTTGAATAGACCGAGGTGAGAGCTGTTCTCATTGTTGTTGTTGTTGTTGTTGTTGTTGTTGTTGCTGTTGTTGTTGTTGTTGTTGTTGTTGTTGTTGTTGTTGTTGTTGTTGCTATCGTTGTGGATGTGGTTGTTGTAGTTTTTTATTGCTGTTGCTGCTGTTCGTTGTGTTGTTGTTGCCGCTTCTACTTGTTGATGATGTTGTAGTTACTGTAGTTGATGCTGCTGTTGTTATTGTAGTGGATGCTGCTGCTGCTGCTGCTGCTTCTAGTGTTCGTCGTCACCATCATCGCCGTTGTCGTTATTGTTGTTGTTTTTGTTGCTGCTGCTGCTACTACTACTGTATCACGCATCAGTTGTCCTCCTGGCAAACGGTTTGTTTCGTGCTACACGTGTTTATTGTTATTGTTGTTGTTTTCGTTGTTTTGTTGTTGTTGATTTCGTGCTACACATGCTACTGCTGCCAGAACACGAAGGTTCTAACAACCCTCGTTACAACAACGGTTTTTAACAACATCCACCGACAGGCTAGCGCTATGTTATCTAGAAACAATAGATAGATAGATAGATAGATAGATAGATAGATCAAAAACAGATCTTGTAGTACTTGTTAGTTAGTAGTTGTTGGTATGTATACGAGATTCTCATACTCAGTATATATAGAGGTCCGGTCTACGATAGAAAGCTACCGTTAAGACTAATGTTTAGACTAATTACGTTTCCGACAACTGGCCTTAGATCCCGATCTAAGTTCTAACAAGTAATCAAACTAGTCTAGTCAGTGATGACAGTAGTAGGAGTGTGAGTGAGTGGTGGTGCGGTAGTTAGGAGGATCACTGACCTTTCTTCATCGGTAACTCCTCTGCTTCCGCTGATGCTCCCATCGGCTGCAGGGCCTTGCGCTCTGCTGCCGCAGCCTCCGCATCCTCATAGCTCTTCTTCTTCTTCTTCTGCTTGTTGCTCATGTACGCGTAGATGGCGATGATGCCGACGATGATGACGAGGACGATGACGATGATGATGATGGCCGCTACGTAGAGGAGAAGGAGAGAGAACATCGTGAGTGTTGCTGCTGTTGTTTACATTTGCGTTGTAAGGTGTCGGGGAATAGAGGAAGGGGGCGGGTGGCCGTTTGAGATAAAGGGAAGAAGGAAGGGTGCGGCTATGAGAGAGAATGGAGGGGCGACGGTGAGGGAGAAGGGAGGGGCTGCTCTATAAGACAACAACTGTGGACGGGAAGGGAGAAGCGACTGCTGGAGAAAGGTGAAGAAAGGGGCTATAAAAAAGAGGAGAGGTAGGATGTTATAGGAATAAAGATCACAAAGAACGTTTTTTGATTGAAACTTGAATACGTGATAAATACTACGTATCATGCACGACAGACGCCCGGCCGCATGGTGGCGCCACGTGGCACGTACTTGTACTTCCGGCAGTACTGGCAGTCTCTCGAGTCGGCTCAGCGATCGCGTATTCAGCCGTCACCGGTTGTCCTCTAATGAACCCTGCCGGGAATGTCGCCCCCTGAAACCAAACAAATGAGCATTCGTGGCATGAACACGTGTTACGGACACACGCAGCAACGTCACTGTCCCTTCACAGCCACGTCACTGCAACGTCAGTCTCCCTTCACAGCCACGTCACTGCAACGTCACTCTCCCTTCACAGCCACGTCACTGCAACGTCACTGTTCCTTCGCAGTTACGGCACTGCAGCGTCATTGTTCCTTCACGGTTACGTCACGGCAACGACGTCATTGTTCCGTCACATCATGTGACTGTTACGTCACTGCTGTGTCACGTCAACGTCAACGCACAGACCAAAGGGACTAAACAGGAACAAAGGACAAAAGGACCTAACAACTCTCGGACCAGCTAGCGACCTCTAGTGAGGGATTAAGGTAGTTACCGAGGGCGTGGTATATGGTGGGAACGTGGGAATGATGAGTCCACCCTCGAAGTCTGCGCATGCGCGTTCATAGAAGCCACCGCTGGGTCGGATCTCAACGTTTTCGTCTTGGAGGTAGTTGAAAGCAACATCTATCGGACGAATTACTGTATCTTCTCCTTCCAGCAGGTCGAATATTATGTCTGTAAGGAGAAATATCGAAAGGAAACGTTAATCTATTGTAAATAATCTGATTTTAGCTACTTTTTTTTTGTAAAGAAAGTAAGTAATTAACAGAGAAAGCGGGAGAGCGAAAGAAAGAGACAGACTGGGCGAGAGAAAGTGTACGAGAAAGAAAGCGGGCGAGCGAGAGAGAGAGAGAGAGAGAGAGAGAGAGAGAGAGAGACAGACAGACAGAGGGAGAGAAACAGGGTGCAAGATAGAGCGAGAAATAGAGCGGGAGAGGGAGAGAAAAGGACTGCGATTAATATTATCGAGAGAGAGAGAGAGAGAGGAGAGAGAAGAGAGACCGAGACAGCGACACAGAGAGAAATAGACACACACACATAGAGAAAGAGAGAGAGAGAGAGAGAGCAAAGAATGGAGGAGAGAAGAGGACCATGCGACAGAAGTAATAGACCGAGAGAAGAGAGAGAGAGAGAGAAGGAGAGCGGAAGAGAGCGCGAGACATGGACACAAGGTGAGAGAGAAAAAATAGCACACAAAGAGAAGAAGAGCGAGAGAGAGAGAGAGAGAGAGAGAGAGAGAGAGAGACCGAGACAGCGACAGAGAGAGAGAGAGGAGCGAGAGAGAGACCGAGACTCAGCCGTCTGGCGACACAGAGAGAAATAGACAACCACGATAGAGAAGGAGGAAAGGAGAGAAGGAGGAGAGAAGAGAGAGACCGAGCAGCGAAGAGAGAGAGAGAGAGAGAGAGCGAGAGAGAGACCGAGACAGCGACACAGAGAGAAATAGACACACACACATAGAGAAAGAGAGAGAGAGAGAGAGAGGACCGAGACCAGCGACGTAGAGAGGAGAGAGAGCGAGGAGAGACGAGACGCGAGCAGAGAGAATAGACCACACCATAGAGAAGAGAGGAGAGAGAGAGAGAGAGAGAGAGACAAGACAGCGAAGAAAGAAGCGAGCGGAGAGAACACGAGAAGCGACGAGAGAGAGAGAGAGAGAGAGAGAGAGAGAGGAGCGAGACACGCGACAGAGAGAGAGAGAAGAGCCGGTGGCCGAGAGAGAGAGGAGAGAGGAGGAGATGAGAGAGACGAGACACAGCGACAACAGAGAGAGAGAGAGAGAGAGAGAGAGAGATGGATGTTAGGGAAAGCTAAGCTTGTACTCACAGCGTGACCATGCGGGGGCGATTGTAGTTGCGATAGGCAGCGTGTATATCGTCTGTCTGACGAAACCATCCATCCAAGTGCCCCGCGCGCTCTCCGTCTCCGAGGCGGTGGTGTCGATCAGCTTGGTGCCTCGGCCGAAGCCGTGTGTGTCATTCTGAAATCACGCCCCCGCGCCTCTACGCGCGCGCGAGGAAGTTTCCTACTCACACAACACCCCCCGTTTTTCTAGCAACTCCGCTCCGCCGCTCGCTCACCCACTCCGCCGCCCCCCCCTCTCGCTCCCCCCCCCACTCCACCCACTCCCTCGACCATCGCTCGCCGTCACCCCCCCCCCACGGTTGATTAGTTCGTCAATAGTGAATCGAGTGGTTAAGACGAGCAAGCCCCCCCAATACTCCCCCCTCCCCGTCCACGCGGCCCCCAGGACGCCCACGAAATGGCCAACCCCCCCCCCCCCCCCGCAGTCCGCCGAACGACAACGGGCGTACGGCGCAACAGGGTACAGTGCAGCAAGCGAGGACATGGCAGGGCGATGAGGTAGCAAGCAGCAGCAACGCGAGGATAAGGCGGCAGGCAAGCGGGACCGAGAGGTAGAAGACCGTCGCACCGAGGAAGAGCAAAAGTACGCGTGCAGAGCAGGCCCGCGAGTGCAGCCGGGGCAGGCGGCAAGGCAGAATGCATGCGCGCGAGGCAGGCAGCCGCAGCAGGGGCAGAGGCAAGCAGCAGCACGAAGGAGCGGCTGTAGGCCACATGCCATGCGAGGCCCAGCAGCAGGCAGGCGAACACGCAGAGCATGCATGCCAGGCAGGCAATGCGCATGCATGCAGGCAGGCAGCAGCGACGGCACGCACGCAGACATGCGGCAGGCTGCTGCTCATGCCGCAAGCAGGCATGCGCGGCCAGCGAGGCAGGAGGCAGGCACGGCCGCACGCAGGCAGGCAACGCAGGCAGGCGCCAGGCTGCGGTCATCATGCAGGCAGGCATGCATGCATCCGGCAGGCCGGCAGGACAGGAGCACCATGACATGCAGCAGCGCATTCGACAGGCAGACCGGCAGGCCATGCAGGCAGGAATGCATGCTGCGATGCAGGCAGGCACGCGACAGGTCACGGCGAAGCGGGGGACATGCATGGCAGGGCAGACAAGGCGGGCATGACAGGGCAGGCGGAGCAGCAGGCACGCAGACAGGCAGGGCAAGGCAGGCGACGCTAGAAGTTACCGATTGTAGCCTTAGTGTGCGATGTTAGCTTAGTTTACCGGATGTTAGCTTACGTATACCCGATGTTAGCTTAGTTACGATGTTAAACACTACGCGTAAGCACGGGTCATCTGCGTTGTCGTATACACAACAGGTGGGTTCCATCGTCGAATGGTACACTGAACTCTGATCTTCGGTGCATAGGCGCGAAAACGCACATGTGAGTCACGATAGCTGCAGCAGTACCGCGCTTGTCGAATACTACCATATATATTTTTAAAAGACGTAGTCGGACCTGGTGCGGTGCGGCACATGTTACAGCGAATGGCGCGGCGCGACTTTCGCTGCAGTGCCTGGGACCCTGATGTGACGTCACTTCGCGTAGTCATTAAGTAGGGCGCACAGCTTGGGAGGCCTTTGAGTTTTCAACGCGCGCACATTTCGATTTAATGTGTTAGACAGACACTGGATTTTTGAACATCTTGTTCAATGTGTGCTGTTGTGAACAGAGACAATAAATCTTGCTGCGTAGAATTTCACTTTTGGATATATTTGGTGATCGTTTTCTTCGCGAAGCCAGAAGGAATTGATTGGAAATTAATGCAATTATTCATTGCTGACGAATCAAGGATAACACAGCAAAGGCTTAGGATCAATAATAAGATCACGAGCCAACAGTCCGGATGTTCGACCGAACTGAAACGTTCGCTACTAGGATTATCATTGATGTATTATGCATTTGTATTATTATACTGTAGTTGTATATGTATATTAATGTATATGTATATGTATATGTGTAATATGATTGTATCATTATATGTAATAGTGTATATGTATCAGGCTAGTCATATGCTAGTGCATATGTAATTATATGTATATGTATATGTATATGTATAATGTATATGTATTGTATATGTATATGTATGTTAAGGACTGCTATTGTTATCGTATATGCTGTATGTGAGTATGTATGAGACTGTGATATCATAGTATGAAGTTCTCGTTTTAGTTGAATATTATCAATACTACTGTATAAGTGTCTCAGTTGTGTATAACGCTACGCATATATCCTATAACTTGTATTAACTGTTACTGGTATACTAGTTGCGTATGCATATGTATACTCGTATCTGTATATGATTTAGTATATTATATTGTATATGTTATGGTAATTATCTATTGTGTGTGATATATGGTGTATTTGTCATATGCGTGTAGTATTAAACATGTATAGTTGTATAACTTTTCGTGTGTGAGCAATATGTATATCAGTCGCTTGTATTTGCGTATATGTATATACTATTGTGGTAGTGTCTAATTGTTATAAAGATGTTCTGACATTGTACTTTGTATCTGTATATGTATATGTAGTGTTGCTAATCCGTATACTGTATAGCATATGTATGTATAGGTATGTATATGTTTCATGTACTATGTATCAATGTTCGGGTAAGTGCCGTAATGCATATGTTATCCTTATTATAATTATGTATATGTTATACGTAGGGTATATGTTTATTATGTACTAATATATATATTATATATTCATTACGTTGTGTATGTGTGTGTGTGTAGCTGTAGTGTGTCGTGTCTGTGGTGTGTGATCTGTGTGTGGGTGTGTGTCGGTGTATTGATGTGCTGTTGTGTGTAGTGTTGTGTGTGTGGTGTGTGTGTGTGTGTGTGCCGCGCCGCGCGTGTTGTTCGAGCTCAAACATATGAGGTAGTTAGTCAAGATACGTCTACAATTGTATTAAACTCCAGATAGAACAAAGTGAACATGGCTAAGGCTGACGGTATCACCAGGTTGGCAGAGGTCGCATGTTTACCCTGGTCATGTGGCATGTTTACCGCGATAGACGTAATAATGTACTCGGCGTCTATATGCAATCGAGAATTATTTGCATACCTCCGTGGCATAGAGAGAGCGGTGACAGGCACTAAATATATGCATCCGTAAATTACACATACACTTATGAAATAGTATAACTAATTGACACATAGAAGACGTATATAGATGCTGAGCACTGCGCGCAGTGGCACACACACAACACCACATACAACACACACAACACAGTAACTAACACCACAAGCGTTGCGCACACACACCCACCACCACACACACACAAACACAGCAACCCAAACACACACACACAAACACACCACAAAACCACACACAACAAACAGGCCACACACATCACACCACACACACACACACCATGCACGCCCCCCAAGCACGAAACAGATCATGGTTGAGGCGCAAGCCCGCGTTCACATGAAGAAGCATCTTACTCACTATGCTCGTAGAACTGCAGGGAGCAAGCAAGCCAGGTTTAGTCAGCTTGATGTGAGCGAAGTGGGACTGAGGTGGAGAGAGGTGATGGAGAGTGATTCAATGGCCAGTACGCCGCTCGGGCGTCACATCTGTAAACGGATATGTTGTTCCGCGTGAGTGGACAAGCCGATGTCTGAAACATGTGCGTGAGGGTTAACCGACGGGTGATGGACGCGATAAAAAACGGCACAAGTCACCCACGCACGCAACGCACAGCCCACACACAACAGAACCACAAAATGAATCAACCCGCCGATGGGCACACCCAGCGCGGCGCAACAAGGCACAGAAGCCTCCAATACGGAAGCACACGCGGCT